GAAAAGGGCGAGGTACATTCTGTCTTGGAGATTCCCGTGTCCAGCCTGCATCTTCATCTCAATCCTTTCCCCCTCTGCCCATCATCACCAGCATCATCATTCCCACCCTCTCCGACAGAAATACCGAGATGCAGGACAAAATTCATTTGCCCTCGCACCAGACCCACATCGTATGCGGTGGTCTCTGCAAGGGGAACAAAGGGGGTTATATGTACATGTTTTATATGCAATATGCGATGATATGATAATAAAGAAACTGTTTCCGACACCACGCAGGAGTACACAAAATAAGTAATTTGCCACATCCAAAATATATAGTTTTCTTCTACCGTTGTGGTTGACTCCTGAACTGACCTCACACACACACACATATATATGACGCCCACAAACCCCTTCCCTCCTTCCTTCCTCCTCATTCTCTCTTATATACGTGTTAACTTTCGTTGCTCTTTTCCTTTTTTCTTTTCTTTTTTAAAAAAAAGTGACATTTCGTTTATACTTCTCCTCCTCCCCTCCACCTTCCCCTCTCCCCGCAATTACACGACTTTACTCTCGTTAATTCTTTCATTGTTCACGCCTTTCGTGCAAACACGTCCCCTCGCGTATGGCCCTAACATTTATTTTTTTTCTTTTTCATTTTTGTTTTATCATTCGCTTCGTGCGCCTTTCACTCAAAATCACACAATTTTTTTTTTCTTCCAAATTTTTCCTCAACTTCTTTTACACCGTCTCTTGCAGTTGTTCCTCGCGTGTGTTCCCAGACGGCATCAATTTTCGCCTTTCTTTATACGTCTATTTGTGTGCGTGTATGTGTGCCAATGTGAAAATAAATACGTGTGATAAAACCCTCTGCAGCCATTTTTGTAAGTCTTTTTTTTCTTCCTTCCCCTCACTTTTCTTTCATGTTTTTTCGATTTGCTTCCTCACGTTTCACTGCATTGCTGCCGCTTTAAAAAAAAAAAAAAAAAGAGCTTGTGGCACTTCTTTGCAACCAGTTTCCCCCCTCGTGTCTCCCTCCCCCCGCAATGGCATTTCAGTTCCGGCATGACCACCAGGCGTTGTACGTGAACCCACACACATGCACACAGACAGGAAGAGAGAAACAGAAAATAGGCCCCTCCTCTCCTCCCATTCAACACTTAACTTTAGAAACACTCTCCAATCGTCTATTCTTCTTCTTCTTCCTCTACTGCTTTAATTTCTCCTCGCTGCTCCCAGAATTAAAAAGGCACATCTCCCCCTCTCTTTTCTGCCGTTCCTCCGTTTATTCTTGGCGCCTCGTCTGTGCCATATCGTCTGGGGTCACCGTTCAAAACTCTCTCCTTCTCTCTCTCTCTCTCTTTTTTTTTTTTTTTCCTTTTCTTTCCCCCACTTGTTTTTCAAAAAGAAATAATAATAAAAACAGCATCAAAAAAAAATCCAAAGGCCCGTTTCGGTGTCCACATGTGTGACCCACGTCCTTCTTTACACACCCCACTCATCATCTCGGAGGAAAAACGAAACAATAAAAATATTATACACGTAACTGACGGATTTAGATTGAACCACTCTGTCATGGATACCCCCTCCCCCCAGATGCGTGTTGTTGTTTTGTTTTGTTGTTTACTTTTTTTTTTTTTTTTAATTTCCCTCCCCTCCCCTCCTCCTCCTTTCACCTTCCTTCGCTATTTATCTCGGTCCTTCTCTTACTCGGCAGTGAAGGTGCTCCTTTCCCCGGCGCACCGTCTCCAGGCATATCCAAAATACATGCACATACATTTATCCGTCATTCACACAATTCCAACCTTGTAACGATGCGGCACATGCATAGAGGAGGAAGAGGAGGAAGAAGGGAAGGAGAGAAAAAAATGGGGGGGTGGGGGGGGGGGGAAGAGAGCAAAAATGTTTAAAACTTTCTCATTGCCTTCTCATTTTGTTTTTTTTCCTTTTTCGTTTTACTTTTTTTTTTTCACTTTTCCTGCCTCACAATTTTGATGTTGCCCTCACCTTTTTCTTCTTCTTTCTTTTCTTCGTAGCATCTCTTATTTCCCCCCGGTGGAAATATTTTTTTTTTAATTTTGTTCTCTCTCTCTCTCCTTTTTTTTAAGGCCTGTGTGTGTGTGTGTGTGTGTGTGTGTGTGCTTCTCTGGGTTTTCTCGCTGTTTCGCATTGCTCTTTTCATTCTCTTTTCATTTTTCCTTCTCCCCAGGGTCCTTTTAATTTCCTTCTTCTTCTCCGTGTGTACTTCCCACGCCAACGCCTAACTTTGCACTGCCTCACTCCTAAGTAATTCATTTGTTCACCCTTTCCTCTATATTATTTCCTCATTTTAACCAAATTGTTAGCCCCACTCCGGGCATCTCCTTCTCCCTGCGCACGATCCCACCGATGGCATTAGGAGTTGAGGCCATCCGCAAACATGCTGCGGACGTTTCCTGCGGGTCCGCCAAAGGCACCACCCCCTGCACTGCTGCCGCCGTAGCCACGGGAGCCACCGCCACGACCACCTCCGCCCATGTTCGCACCATAGCCACTGCCGTAGCCAAAGCCATCACCGTAACCGCCACCGTAGCCACCACCGTACCCACCGCCATAGCCTCCGCGGTTGTTGCCGCCACGGTAACCACCACGCGGGCCACGAAAGCCGCTCCCGCCAAAAAAGCCACCGCCATGGAATCCGCGGAAGCCACCACCAGCATTACCACCACGACCGTTGTTAACGTTGGGACGCTTGGTAAGGTCCATAATCTGTTGAAGGACATTTTGGTGGGTTTCGTTTAGCAGCGGAACAAGGTCGTCAACAATGTTGCGGTTCTTTTCATTGAAAAAGGATATTGCACGACCAACCTTTCCCGCACGACCCGTTCGGCCAATACGATGGACGTAGTCATCAATGTTACTCGGCATATCATACTGGATAACGATGCTCACGTCAGGAATATCAAGACCACGTGAGGCAACGTCTGTGGCAACAAGTACTTGACACGACGCGGATTTAAACATTTTAAGTGCTTCCTCACGTTCACGTTGTACCCGATCGCCATGAATTGACGCACACGCTACCCGATTGTTTCGAAGGAATCGTTCCAAGTAATCAGCATCGCGCTTTTTCTCCACAAATACAAGAATAAGTTGGTTTTGATTCTCGTGAAGAAGCCTGAGAAGATGTTCCCGTTTGTCGTTGTCCTCAACCCAGCGAACATCTTGGGTGATATTTTCCGTTGTTGAACCTACACGACCAACTTGCAAGAAATAGTGACGATGCAAAAATTCCCTTGCAAGCTGTTGAATTTCAGTTGGGAAAGTAGCCGAGTACAATAGCGTCTGCCGCTGACCAGGAGGTGGCATATCACTCTCCTGGCCTTGGACAATCATACGAATCTGTGGCTCAAACCCCATGTCAAGCATGCGATCAGCCTCATCCAGAACCATAAAACGAATTGAAGAGAAGGTCACGTAGCCCCGGGTAAATACGTCCCATAAGCGGCCAGGTGTAGCAACCAACAAACCGCAGCCCCGTGAGAGTTCATGTACTTGGTGGCGGGGATCCGCACCACCGTACACAACAACACATCGAATTCCGGTTCGGTATGTAAACTTGCGACCTTCCTCATGAATCTGGATGGATAGTTCACGGGTGGGGGCCATTACCAACGCAGCTGGTGAAGAACGGCTCCCTTGCCCTTGATGGTTCGGAGTTACGTTGCTCAGTATGGAGCTCACAAGAGGGATCAAGTAGGCTGCGGTCTTTCCAGAGCCTGTCTGTGCGCAGGCCATGAGATCATGACCACACAGAACAACAGGAATACCGTACTTTTGGACCGGTGTTGGCTTTTGGTATCGACAACGTGCCACATTTTCCTTGAGTGCCAGTGGAGTGTTCATGGAAGCAAAAGACTCCATTGGTGGAATGTCGTTGGGCGAGATGTGTACCTTAATAGCCTCGTACTGGTCAAAGTTGATGCCGGGAGTATGCTCCTTGAATATTTCCTCTTCGGGTTTCTCCTCGCGGTGGTATGCGTGGGAAGGACTTTCACCTTGGTACTGCAGTGGTCGGTTAAAACCATTTTCTTGGCCAAAGCCACCACCGCGACTGTAACCACCACCGCCCCGGCCACGGCCGCCTCGGAAGTGACCGCCATCAAATCCGCCCCCTGCCCGTGGTTGGTAGCTGTTGTACGCACTCTGAGGGCTACCATTCCCAAATGCACCGGGACGTCCACCCCACTGAAATTGGGGAGTAAACGGCGGCGGAACATCTTTTTGGCCGTAGGTGTTGAAGTGCATTATTTTTTTTTTTTTTAATGCAGCTTGCAAAGAAACCGAGGGGATAAAAAAAAGAGCTAATGACTAATTGAAACTGTTGCAACGGTGTCGTCGCCACAAGGCAAAAAAAAAAAAAAAAAAAAAGACAGCCAAGAACAAAAGTAAAAGAAAACAAACAGAAAAACAACCAACAACAACAATAAAAGGGCGGACATACAGAAAAAAGTCAAAGTATACGTACACAGAAACACCCACCCCCCACGGTCTGGCGCAAGCACAAAGTGAAGAATGCAGGATAAACAATCTTCGCGATAGAAGTAAAAAAAAAAAAAAAGAGCAAAAAAAAAAAAAAAAGGAAATGGCGAGGGAAGTTATTTTATTGCTTTGGAAATATGCGGCAATTTCGCTCGGCCCGTGGCAACGATGTAATTTTCTTCAGTTTTTCAACTGTCATTGAGGCGCTGCTGGTACTCCGACGCGCTCCTAAAAAACGCTTGAATTCGCTGCCGCATGGTGTCTCGGCGCCAGTGCAGAATGGGTTGCGAAAAGTACGCCCCAACTGCAGTGACAGTCGTCGTGCTAAACAACGACTGCGCCAACAAGGGAGCCGCAGCAGTCATGGGCTTCTCCGAGCGAGCCATGAAAGCACCGACTG